ATGTAAAATTTCTCTTTTAAAAAAAGTTTTGTTGATGTTAAATGTATCCCAGTGCCAATGTCAGATTGTGCCCCTCCCTCCCTTGCACCTCCACCCTCACCCTAAGCAGTCTTGTTGAAAACAGTAATAAAAATATTACTTTACATTGTAATTGACTGTGGATTGTTCTTAAATGAAGGCAGGTGAGATCACAATTTATACTTTACAATGTTAAAGATGGGAACTTGAGGAACTAAGTGCAAGAAGCTTCCATTTGAACTCCAATTTGCAAAATTTACAAATACTGCACATTTTATAGATTTATCATACAAGGTCTCACCAAAATCCTTAGGAAGTGGGAAATACTAATTTTGCCTAGCTAAATACATTTGTTCTGTAGATTTTAAGATCAGAAGAAATATTTCACACTTGAAAAAACAGATTTTTGAATGGGAGAACCAATTAAAAAAACAAACAAACCCAGGGATGAAACAAGGGAATCCAGGGGTTTCCTCCACCTTTCCTCTGCCCTGGGTCCTCAGGCTGACCCCACTACCACCACAGAGCTCGCCCTAGGCTTAGACCCCAACTCTTGTTACAGAGCGGTCACATTCCTCCAGGACAAGGGAAAGCTGGGTTATCTGTCCCCCAATCTTGCCCGACATCTGCAGTGCAGCCCAGAACCTCCCTACACACCCAGCAGGGAGAGACTCAGGGGCGCTTAACTCAGGGGGAGTCACATCAAGGGCCCCTCACATCACAAACTTGTTCTTGGCAAGAGAGTTGCTCTTGGTGGCTGTGTCTGCGTGGGCCTGGGACCCAGTCACCATCTTTGTGGAGAGGCCCAGGCGCTCCTTGTAGACACGCCCGGTGTGCAGCACACCCTCCTGGTTCTCTGCCGCCCTTGTCCATATGGCAGTCTTGTCCCCCTTGGCTCGGATGTTGATGGCGGCCCCACGCACCTTCCGGCTGTGCTCCTTAAAGCTCTCCCCAATCAGACGCAGCAGAGTCTCCAGCCACAGGCGGTCCAGCTCACTGTGGCACTGCTGCTTGGCGAGGCTGACCAGCCAGCGGCCACCTCTCTTATTTCTGCTATCTTCCCGCATGGGCTCGATGCCATCCTTAAACAGGGCGTAGTCACAGCTGGAGGAAAGCTTACTGGCCAACTGGATGTGACTGTACATCGCCCAGAAGTCCTCCACAGTGTCAGACTTGGTGACCAGATGCAAATTGTCCTCCCAGGCCCAGCTGCGGTCATTCTTGAAGAACCACAGAGCCCACCTGTTCAGCAGAGGGTGCAACTCCAGCTTGGCTCCCGCAGGGCCCTCACCCTGGGCCTTCTTCCTCAGTGGCCTCCTCTCCCCTTGACACCCACACGGCAGCTGTCTCCTCTTTCTCCTCCCACTTTCAGATTCCATCCTCATCCTCTCTGGCAGGGCTGGCAGTCGCCATGCTCCTTGTAGGAAGGCAGGCATCCAAGGGAGGGTCCAACTTCTTGAATTCTTTTGCATGTGGATATCCAGTTGTCCTAGTACCATTCATTAAAATGATTACTCTCTCTGAATTGAATTGTGTTGGCACTACTGTTGAAAATCAACCGACTATGAGTATAAGGGTTTATTTCTAGATTCTCAATTTTATTACATTGATACACCTGTCTATTCTTATGCTAGTATCACATAATCTTGATTGCTATAGCTTTGGAACAAGTTTTATAATTGGGAGGTGTTCTGATTACCTCTATAATCAGTTCTGAATTGGGACTATCCTATTCACTCTGTCAAGGAAGGGGAATCTGCTACCCTAAAGTATGAGGTGGATAAACATGTGATACCCAACACTGGATGGTTGAGATTGGCAGCAGTTTATTAGTCATATATACTCAAAACTGTAAGGACACGTGGGGGTTGCACTTGGGAGAAGAGTGAACCAACAACGGCCATGGGAGGCAGGCTTTGCAGTGACCCCCGGGTGGAGTGGCCCCTGTTTCCCACTGGAGGATGAGATTAATTTGCTTCAATAATTTCATGGACTGGCAGGGAACTCAAATCTGTCAGGTTAAAGAGCTTGTGGGGTCCAACTGGTCCAGCTGATGGAGGAACTGAAGTGGAGACCCTTTCCTGCTGGGTTGGGGGACACACCTGGCAGCAGCAGGGCACTCGTGGGGCTCTGTGCGGCTCCAGATGGCAAGGCAGCACATGGATTTTAGATCTGATAGTACAGGAAGTGTGGCTTTTCCAAATTTGCCCTTTTTTCTCCAGATTCTTATGGTTATTCTGGATTTCCTTCACCTCTATATAAATTTTAAGGATCAGCTTCTCAATTTCTGCAAAGAAGCTAGCCGAGATGTTGACAGGGATTGCATCAAACCTGTAGAGCAATGTGGGGTTTATTACCATCTTAACAGAAGTGAGTTCACAGATCCATGAACATGGGATGACTTTCCATTTATTCAGGTCTTTAATTTCTTTCAACAATTTTCAGGGTACAAATCTTGCACTTCTTTTGTTAAATATAGTTAAATTCATTCTAAGTATTTTATTTTTTTGATGTTATTGCAAATGAAATTATTTTCTTCATTGTTATTTTTGAAATTTTCATTTCCTAGTGTATAGAAATACAATTGATTTTGTATATTGATCTTTCATATAGCAACCTTTCTGAACTCATTTTTTAATTAGAATAGCTTCTTTTAGTGGAGTTCTAAGGATTTTCAACATATAAGATCATGTCATCTGCAAAGAGTTTTATTTCTTCCTTTATAATCTATATGCCTTTTATTCTCCCTCACTGACCCTAACTGCCATGGTTAGAACTTCCAGTACAATATTGAATAGCAGTGGAGAAAACAGACATCCTTGACTTTTTCCTGATCTCAGGGGAAGGCATTAGTCTTTAATCATTTAGTATGATATTCCCTGTAGTGTTTTCGTAGAGACCTTTATCAAGTTGAACAAGTTCCATTCTATTTCTAGTTGGTTGATTGTTTTTATCATAAAAGAGTGTTAGATTTTTCATATACTTTTTCTGCATCTATGGAGATGATGATACATTTTTCTTTTTTATCTTTGTTTTATTCATATGGTATATTACATTGATTAATTTTCAGATGTCAAATCTTCCTTGTATAACTGGGGATAATCTCACTTGATCATGGCTAACAATCCTTCTTATATCTTCCCAGATTTGGTTTCCTACTCTTTTGTTGAGGGTTTTTGCATTTCTCTCTATAAAATAGTCTGTAGTCTTATTGTTCTCTTCTTCCTGTGTCACATTTGCCTGCTTTTTTGCATGGTTAGTAATTTTTGATTGGGTGCCGAATACATCACATGCTACATTGTAAGTGCTCTGACTTGTTGTTGTCCTTTCAAGAAAGGTAGACTTAGTTTTACAGGCAGTTAGTCACTTGTAGGTTAGTTTGGTTTGAGGCCTGCATTAAGCTTCCTTCGGATGGGTCTACAATAACCTTTACTCTGGGGAAAGTTCAGTCCTACTACTAAGTTATGTCTCCTCCGTCATCTCCACTGAATATCAGTGTTTCACAGCACGTGGAGTGTCTACTGAAGACTCTTCACTGTGAGTGTTTGGGATTTGTTGTGGACTGCATGCTATATTTTGAAGCCTTAACTTATAATGTGACGGTATTTGTAGGCAGGGCCTTTGGTAGGTAATTAGGTCATGAGGGTGGGTCCTCATGATGAGGTTAGTGCCCTTCAAAGAACAGACACGAGAGAACCTGCTTCCTCTCTCTCTCTCTTCTCTCCTCTCCACCATGTGAAGATACAATGAGAAGACAGCTGTCCACAAACCGAAACATGGGCCATCACAAGGTATAACTTCTGCTGGTGCCATGATGCTGGACCTCCTGGCCTCCAGAACTGTGAGAAATAAATGTTGTTTAAGCCACCCGGTCTGTGATGGTTTGTTACGGCAGCCCAAGTTGACGAAGACAGAATCGAACTTCTTTTTACTCTTAAGAACTCAGGGAATTTTCAGCCTATAACTCCACGGTCATCTTTTGCCATCTTTGTGGAGATTCATTCTAAACACTCGCATCTGGTACTCAACAAAGTCTCAAGGGTATTCCATGCAGATTTCTGGAGCTCTATGAGTTCTGGATGAATCTACCTCTCTAGGACTCATATCTGCCTTTTCAACTCAGTGGGGCCAATAGACTCTGTTTGGATTTCCCCTCCTCCACTGAATA